GACTATGACAAAATGCCCTTCTCCGAACTGCAGACCCGATTCGATTTAGCCGGCTGTCCGGACAGCCAGTGTCCTGTGTGCTCTTCCCACCCACATGGAAAGGAGGACCCAGGCCGCAGACCTCTCGGCATCTGTAGCCCTCTCAGACGGGGAGTGCTTCAGCCTTTCCTTATCTTTCCTGCCCGTGACCCTTCTGAAGGTTGATGCTGTAGGGCATTGTCTCACTTCCTTATGAATAGACCAGGGTTGTGCTTTCCTGCTAACGGGCTGTGCCCACTCAGCACACCCTGTGGGGTACAGGACAGCAGTCTGGTTGGCTCTCGGTGAGGCAGCCTTGCTCACTTGGTTCAGGTGGGAGCTGCCTGGGTCTCTATGGTCCAGTCACCACTCCACGTTGTGACCCACAGTTACCTGATGGAGACACTGCGAGGGGAAGTGCATCCCTGTGTCTCGAGGCTCTGCATCATGCAAACATTGTCCTGGTGCTGTCTGATGGTGGGTCTTTACCTTCCCCTCATTCCTTCAACTTTCATTCTAAAAGATTTTATTCATTCATTTGAGAGAGAGAGCACAAGTAGGGGGGGCAGCAGAGGCAGAGGGAGAAGCAGGCCTCCCGCTGAGCGGGGAGCCTGACGTGTGCCTGGACCAGGACCGCAGGATATGACCTGAGCCCCCAGGTGCCCACCCTTCAGTTGGAATCCCTTCCTAAGAACAACCATTTCTAACCATTTGTTTGGATATTTATATCAGCATAAACTCAAGGATATTTATTTGGTCCTATGAGTCATAATCTGGTAGCTGTTATTTTGTTCCATCAGGAACCTATGACAGGTCCTCCTGTCACCTTTGACATCGCGGGTCATCTTCTTAGCTTCTAACTTTGTGGCACTTGCCTTGGAGCCCCCAGCTCCTCTCACCGAGACAGGAGACCGGGATTTAAGTCCGTGGGAGTTTCCGGAGCAACTGGAATAGGTTTTGTTATTCGCAAGCTCTGGGCTCCGCGGGGAGCCTGCTTCCCTCTCTCTCTGCCTGCTGCTCTGCCTACTTGTGGTGTCTCTCTCTCAGTCAAATAAATAAATAAAAGCTTCAAAAAAAAAAAAAGTAAAAAATAAAATAAAAACTTTCAACCAACTACACAAGGGTCTGTGCTGATGAGATGACTTTTGGGGCCCCTGGATAGTTCCAGGGTGGGGGCCGGTCACCAGAAAGACCAAGCCGTGATTAGAGGAGTGGGACGTTCCGCCCCATCCCACCCCAACCTCTGGGGAGGGGAGCAGGGCTGGAAACTGAGTTCATCATCAATGGCTGATGATTTAATCAGTTGTGCTTTTTTTAATGACACCTCCATAAAAACCCCTAAATGATGGAGTTTGGCTTCTGGGTTGGTGAACCCTTGGAGGTGCTGGGAGGGTGGTGCACCTGGAGAAAGGCAAGGAAGTTACAGCCCCTGACCCCATGCCTCATCAGAGACATCTCTGGTCATTGGCCATTCTTGTGTTGCATCCTTTATCATAAACCAGTCATTGTAAGTAAAGCATTTTCCCAAGTTCTGTGACTTGATTTAGCAAGTTTTCAAACCTGAGGAGTGGTCAAGCCCCTCCACTCTGGGTGTTTCCTTACACAGTGGTAGATACCTGAACAGGGCAGATAATGGCGCTGTGGCTGTTGCTTTCCCCGGAAAGGATCCCCTTGTGTTTATAATTGGCCAGCAAAACCATGGGCAGCCTGCAGACCTGACCCACATCTGGCATCTGAAGTAGGGGGAGCCTCGTGGGACTGAGCCCTCAACTTGCAGGTCTGGGCTACCTCCAGCAAGTGCCAGAATTTAATTGAACTGTGGGACATCTGGCTGGTTTCAGACAGGTGCATGAGAAAAAACACTTTAGCCACACACTGCCCAAGTGCACCGTGTTGACCCCGTCTCGATCCTGATGTGGACAGGCCAGCTTGAACAAGAGTTGTTTTTGGTTTCGTTTTTTTAAGATTGTATTTATTTATCTGACAGAGCGCAAGAGAGAGCACAAAGCGGCAGGAGTGTCAGGCACAGGGAGAAGCTGAGCAGGAAGCCCCATGCAGGGCTCGATCCCAGGACCCTAGGATCATGACCCAAGCCGAAGGCAGACGCCTAACAACTGAGCCACCCAGGCGTCCCTAAATAAAATCTAAAAAAAAAAAAAAAAAAAAAGTTTTGGGATGGAAAAATTGAACACTTAACATTTGTTGATACTAAGAAAGCATTGTTAACTTTGGTAGGTATAGTATTTTTTTTTAATTTTATTTATTTATTTGACAGAGATCACAAGCAGGCAGAGAGGCAGGCAGAGAGAGGAGGGGAGAAGCAGGCTCCCTGTTGAGCAGAAAGCCCGATACGGGGCTCGATCCCAGGACCCTGGGATCATGCCCTGAGCCAAAGGCAGAGGCTTTAACCCACTGAGCCACCCAGGCGCCCCACAAACATCATTTTCTATCACACTCACAGGTTATGCAGGTCAGGGACTGAGATGGGATGGTTTATCTGGTGCTGCGGGGCAAGGCTTCTGGGTCCTGAGCCCCAATTTCCAAATTAAGATAAGTCACACCACAGCCTCACTCTCACCTGCGCCCTGAGCTGACGCCAAAGTGAAGACTTTCGGGGGTCTTGTCAGGCAGCGTGTTAACCGGAGAGGAACGTGCGTCATTTGGTCCTATTAGAAGGACACAGTCTTCACTTTTCTTCCCACTGAGAGGGTGGGATCTGACTCCCAGCCCTTACACCTGCGCTGGCTCCAGTTGCTTGACCCATGAAAAGCAGCAGGAGTCTGGTCTCTGGAAGCCCCCGTGGGTTCACCCGGAGATTGGGAACAGGCCTCTCAGAACATCTGCTCTTGGATCCAGCGGCCCAAATCCCACAGGAGTCTCGTGGAAGGGCCTGGGGCCGGGAGCCTCTGCTGAGCGCAACCCGATGGGGCCCCGGCGTGGACCTGATCTGACGGCAGCGGCAGGAGGGCCCCAGCGGAGCTCACCTAGCCCACAGAATAGCGGAGAGAGCTGTGAATCACAGCTCCAAGCCCCTTCACTTTGGGTGGTTCCTTACACAGTGGTAGATTCGTGAACAGGGCAGATACTGGGGCTGTGACTGCTGCTTCTCCCCAGAAAGGATTCCCTTCCTTTGAAATAAATATGTGCTGAAATATTCACGGTGGAAATAACCTCTGAGGTTTGCTTCCAACCAGCAGCCGGCGTGGGGGAACAAGCCGGGCCCCAGGCTAACTGTGGAGGCTCGACGGCAGGTACCCTGGGCTCGTCATACCCTTCTCTCTCCTCGGGTGCATGTTGGGGGCCACCTCCAAGGCAGGCCCCACGGCCTTGCCTGCTGGTACTCTCAGCCCTGTGGTCCCCTCCCACGCTATACTAGGGCAGGTCTGTGAGGCCGGAAGAGTGCAGAAGCGACCTTCCTCCTGAGACGGACGTTATTAGAGACGCTGCTTGCTGCTCTGCTGGCTCTTGTTCCGCGTCCACTGTCTCTCCGAGGCCTCCTGGGAGAAGCCAGTGGCCCTGCTGCAAGCAGTCCTCTGCAGGGGCCGGCAGTGGCAGGTGGCAGGCAGTAAACCCTCTGGCCCACAAGGACGGAGCATTCTGCTCACCGCGTTGGCAAGGGCTTGGAATTCCCACAGATGTTAGGATCTGCTCTGGCCGCTGCTTACGGCAGCCTCAGGAGACCTGGAGCCCGACCAACAGCCTCGCCCCGCCCTGCCCCCAGGAACAGCAGAGTAACTCTTGTTTTAAGCTGCTAAATGCGCCAACGTGTTTTTACACAGTAACAGATCCCTGACAAAGTGTATGTCTGAAATTTCCTACAATAGGAATTTTTTGCTTTTTGTTTTGTTTCTTAAAAGCTCTTGGTGGGGGCGGGGCACCTGGGTGACTTCACTCCATCAAGCAGCTGCTGTCCACTCAGGTCATGACCCGGGCATCCTGGTCAGGCTCCCTGCTCAGCCCAGAGCCTTCTTCCGTTCCCTCTGCTGCCCCCGCCCCCAGGCCTGTGCTCTCTCTCTAATGAACAAACAAAATCTTAAAAGGTAAATAAAAATAAAAAATAAATAAAAGCACTTGGGTTATCTGAAAGCAGAGTTTTCCTCTACCTACAGCTGGGCAATGCAGGACAGTGGGCTGTGGGCTCCGGACTTCGACGACAGGAAGCCTCGCAAGCAACCCACCGAACCGCCGCCCTCGAAAGGCTCCGCACAGAAAGCTGACCGCGCGACCCCTAAGTTACACAGAATCCGCCAAGTATTCCTCAAATATTTAAACGTGTTTAAAAGATAGCCACGTTCCTATTTTGCATTGTTTGTGGTAGAAAATGCCCCCATCCACATGAGGGGCCGGGCGGGGGCCAGGGATGGTGGAGGCCGAGGGCAGCGGCGCAGGTGGGCAGGCGCCCCAGGCCCTGCTAGGTCCCGGGAACTGGGGGTCTGCGGGGACCTGCCGGGTCCCGGGAACTGGGGGTCTGCGGCCACTATACAGCGTCTCCGGGTCTGCGCGCGGCACACGTCGGACCCCAGCCGACAGCCGCTGCCGACAGCCCAGGCGCTCCTCTCGCGTGCGCGAGAAACAGCGGACGGAGAGACCGGGCCACCCGCGCCGGGAACAGGCTCCCCTCCAGCGGCGCTGGGACCCCAGGGCGGCCCGTGGGCAGTCGGACGACACAGGCCGCCAGTCCCCGCGCTTCACAGACCCGCGCTGGGGCACCTCGGGGACGGATCACGATGTACGGGGGGGCGCACGCGAGGCCGTGAAACTGCCTCGTGCCCCGGGCTGGCGGCCGAGCCCCGAGGACGCCCGGGACCAACAAAAATCACCCGCAGCAAAGCGCGCCAAACCCCAACCCGGCCCGGACCTCGCGGGACGCGCCCACGAGGCCGGCTCCACAAGATGGTGGCGGCGCGCTCCCGGCAGCCCGCGCGCGCGCATGCGCCCCACGGCGGCCGCCCGGCGCGAGCGGAAGTCGCGTGACCCCGGAAGTGGCCGACCGGGAGCGCGCGGGCGGGGCCGCGACGTTCGTCATTCCGTGCGGGAGGGAGCGCGAGAGCGGCGCGGTCGAGCCTCCGGTGAGCGGCGGCGGCGGCGGCGGCGGGCAGGGTGCGGCGGGGGCGAGGCGGGGCGGGTCCCGGGCGGGGGCGCCGCGGGGCTGGGGGCGCCGCGCCTTTGTTCGCGCCGCTCGCCGGGGGTCGGCGCGGGCCTCCTCCGGGACCGCCGCCCGCGCCCCGCGGCGCCCCCGCCCGTGCCGCTGCGCGCCGGCCGGGCACAGGCCTGGCGCCCCTCTCCCCGGGGACGCGGGCGCGGCGGCCGGCCCGAGCGGCGTGGCCCTCCGAGCACCGCAGCCCGCGCGCCCGCCCAGATTGCGGAGCCCTGCGGAAGGAAGTGTGGGCCGCGGCCGGCGCGCTTGCGGGAGCCCGTCGCCTGCGGCCACACTTGGGTGGCGTCAGGGCGTGAGCCTTCGGGAGGAATTCCAGAGGAAGCGGCCGGGAGGCCCGGAAAGGCGGGCGCGCCCCACCCCACCTGTGGCGGCCGGCCGGCTCGGGGCTCCCGGCGGCCCTTTGTGAGGTCCGGCGCCGGGCGGCTCCAGGCTGCCGGCGCGGTCCCGGGGGACAGGCTCGGCGGCCCTTCCGGGGCCGGCCGAGGGCCAGCGTGGACTGCGCTCTGGCCCACTTCCCGTGCGGCGCGAGGGTCGGAGTGGGCCTCGCCTGTTCCTCAGCCGTTCTGGCGGGCGCGGTGGGGATCCTTAGTCCTGGGGAGCCCAGGGGCTGCTCCCTGCGCTGCTGTGCGCTCCGCAGCGCTGCCCCAAACTCTTCTGAGCCAGGATCCCGGAAGGGACCCCGAGACCTTGCAGCACTGCAGCTTTCCCACGTTGCAGATCACACGTCCTCACAGTTGGGGAGAAGGCTGGCAGATGGTTGGGGTTCCTTGTGCCGGCCTGGGACCCGCCTGTGGCTCTCGACCGGCCGGTCGTCTGAGCTCCAGGAGAACCCTGCACTTGCAGGACGGGGTCACACTCCCCTGTTCGGACAGAACCCAAGGAGTGTGTTTGGTCAGGGAGACCCAGGAGGAGGTTTCCTTAGGAAGAGGGTCTGGGCAGCTTTGCAAGAAGGGCAGGATTTGGGCAGGATTTAAGAGGTGGCCCCGCCCTGCCAGTCGGGCGGGGGTGCTGGCTCCTCGCCCAGCTGTGGGGGGGTGTGCCCCATCTTCCTGGGGAGCACGCTGGAGGGCCTCCGTAGTTCTGGATGCTCTACCCAGGCTTCCAGGGGTCCGCAAGGTGGGCAGGGCACGGAGTGTGGCCTTCTCTGGGCTTCAGGAGTCTGTGTTCGGGACTTCTGCAAAGCTCTGTCTGCAGTTGCTTTCCTCCAAAAGGCATGCCTGCCTGGGGCCCAGGCACGGGGCGGTTACTCGCCGAGGGCCGGCCGTCCAGCAGAGAGGCCGGACGGGCAGACACTGCGTGCCTTCGGGCCGCGGCAACTCTGTCTGCCCCACAGGTGTCGCAGACCCAGCTGGGGAGCATGGCGGAGCAGGAGCCCACCGCTGAGCAGCTAGCGCAGATCGCCGCGGAGAACGAGGAGGACGAGCACTCGGTCAACTACAAGCCCCCCGCCCAGAAGAGCATCCAGGAGATCCAGGAGCTGGACAAGGATGACGAGAGTCTGCGCAAGTACAAGGAAGCCCTGTTGGGCCGCGTGGCTGTGTCTGCTGGTAAGTGGGCTGGGGCGGCACCAGGAGGGACACCTGTCACTGGGGGTTCCTGCTGCCAGCCGCCCCTCCCCCCACCAGCGGCAAGGTAGGGCTGGGGTAGAGCTCTAACCTGCTCTCATCCACAGACCCCAACGTCCCCAACGTTGTCGTGACCCGCCTGACCCTGGTGTGCAGCACGGCCCCAGGCCCCCTGGAGCTGGACCTGACAGGTAAGTGGCCCGAGGTCCCTGGCCTCTGGCAGCGCGCTGGTTCCTCTGCAAGTACTTTCTCAGCACGAGCGTGCCCTCTTGTGGGGGGCGTGAGAAGCGCAGCCTGGAAGTCTGCAGCGCGGCTTTGGAGGGGCTGGGGGTCCTGGGTGGGGCCGCCTGGGGCTATGTGGGTCAGGGTGGGCGCCGAGGGAGTGTCGTGCCCCTTCCTGCAGCTGAGCCTTCTAGTACAATCTTTTCTTGGGCACAGGCGATCTGGAGGGCTTCAGGAGGCAGTCCTTTGTACTGAAGGAGGGCGTGGAATACCGGATAAAAATCTCTTTCCGAGTAAGGCAGGGGCTGTGGGAGGTGCTGGGGGGCCATGGGCCTGGAGAGCCTCGCCGAGCTTTGCCCGGCTTCTCTCCCTGCAGGTGAACCGAGAGATCGTGTCTGGCATGAAGTACATCCAACACACGTATAGGAAAGGCGTCAAGAGTGAGTGGGGGGTGGAGCCCTGCCCCAAGATGGGGTAGCTGCATGGGGGCCCTGGGATCAGGATGGGGAGAGAGAAGACAGTGTGTGCCCTCGGCCCTGGGTAGGGTCGGGCAGCCTTGGTGATTGCCCGTTTCCTGCACACAGTCGACAAGACCGACTACATGGTGGGGAGCTACGGACCCCGGGCGGAGGAGTACGAGTTTCTGACCCCCACGGAGGAGGCGCCCAAGGGTATGCTGGCCCGAGGGAGCTACAACATCAAGTCCCGGTTCACAGATGACGACAAGACTGACCACCTGTCCTGGGAGTGGAACCTTACCATCAAAAAGGAATGGAAGGACTGAGCCCTGACCCGGGAGGCGGGCAGGCCTCCGGACAGACAGACGGACCTGTCTGACGTGCCCCACCCCCATCAGCCCCACCTCTCCGTCCCGACCCCTCACCAAAGTGCTGACAGGTCTGCCCCCGCCATCCCCCGCCGACCCTGCCCCTCCCTCCTGGCCCCAGCCTCCTCGGTGGTCTCCCCTTGCTGCTTCTGCCTGTGCTGGGGAGCGGGGAGGGAGCCTCCAGGCCAGGCCTCCACCTCCCCTTCCGTACCCCTTTGGGTTCCCCCACTCGTCCTAATCTGACCTGAGGCCCTGGGTCTTCCAAGGGAATCTCCTGGACGCCCAGGTCCTTGCAGGCCTTTGCAGTTGCCCTGAATCCTGTTCTTTCTCTTTTTCCGGGGTGGGGGTGGGGTGGGGTGCATGACTCGAGGCCTCTTGGGGGCCAGCCACCCTCCTGCTTTCACCTGTCCCCGGTCAGTTCATCCATCGCTGTCAGTAACTGTCTAACCATGATGCCTTAACATGTGGAACGTGTGCTGTGGGGGCCGTCACTAACCTCTAACCCCCCCATGTCTGCATGAGCATGTGGTCTCCCCCGGTCCCTACCCCATCCGCAGTCCCCATGGCCCGGGGAGGTGTGTGGGGTGTGCTGCTGCTGTTCCCCTGCCCGCCAGGGCCTAGCCAGCCCCCTCCCCCGGCCGGGGCTGTGGGGACGGCTCCAGGGGCTGGGGGAAAGCCAAATTGCCAAAACTGAAGTTGCCTCCATTCCCATCTGGGAGGCCAGGTGTCCTCACGCCTCTGCCTTCTTTGTCCTTGTGGGTGGTGCCAGAGCCCACGGCCCCAGCAGACAGCCCTCGGTGGACAAAGCCAGCGGCCGAGCCTTACTTGTCCCACCTGGGCCTGCCGGCCTGGAGTCGTGTGCCTGGCCTGTCAGTATTTATTGCCTCCATATGTGCCGTCCTCTGGGCCCCCTGGCCTGCCGCCTCTGCCCCCAGGCTCGGTGCCACCATCTCCGGCAGGCCCTCCCCAGACCCAGCCAGGACAACTGTGGGACCAAGCGTGCACAGTCGGAGCCCTCCCCTGTGCCTCCCCTCCCCTCGCCTCCCCTGTTGGGCCTGGGCCTAGAATGTTCAGGAGCCTGACCTTGCTTCTCCTTTTCTGACCGGGAAATAAACTCCCCCAAAGCAGCCAGGGTGTCTGCTGCTTGTCTCAGGGTGGGGGGGCAGCCATGGTGCCTGCGGCTGTTGAATGATTTGAAGCTTTCCTTTAAGATCCGGCCAGTGCTTCCCTGGGCGTAGGCCTGGAGTCTCCCCGAATTGCCCAAGTTATAGGGTTCTTGGCTTGGGGGCAGGGGGGCGTGCAGTAGGTCTTTCTGGGGTCTGGAGCACAGGCTCCGTGGAGGAAATGTCCCAACCCTGAAGAAGGTGCAGGTGAACAGTCCCAGGACGGAGTGGGATGAGACGGTCCGGTACTCAGCAGCGGGGGCAGGAGGCCGGACCGGAAGTCAGTGCTGCGGGCAGCAGTGCCCTGGAGGGCCCGATAGGACCCAGGCTCCAGGGGTGGAATGGGTGAAGTGGGGTAGACCGTAGGAAACTGGGGGGCCCTCACTGCTTAGAGGTGCAGAAGAGCAGCAAGGGGGGCACGTGGGTGGCTCAGTGGGTTAAGCCTCTGTCTTTGGCTCAGGTCATGATCTCAGGGTCCTGGGATCGAGTCCCACATCGGGCTCTCTGCTCAGCGGGGAGCCTGCTTCCTCCTCTCTCCCTGCCTGCCTTTCTGCCTACTTGTGATCTCTGTCAGTCAAATAAAATCTTTAAAATACAGCAAGGGGGCTCCTGGAGGACTGCACAGCCTCTACCGGATCTTGGGGTGGGGGGCGGAGCAGAAGGGGGACACTGCCTCCTTTCCTCACACCGTGGGAGGGCGTCGAGCAACTCTGATGCTCCCTCCCCCGCCGGAGGACGGGTGGGCGGGGGAAGCGCAGACTGGAAACCACCTCCTGTGGCCTGGCGCCTGTTGTGAAACCTGCTCTTTCCGTGCTCTGGGCGGGTTAGAAAGGGGTTTTGTGCCACACTTCATGGTGACAGGAAGCTGCTCTCTGTGAGAGGCTCGGCTGGCCACACCTCTGGGGCCCTGCCCCTCCTGCCACTGCTTCCCAGCAGGGCGTTCCCAGCCAGCAGCCTTTCCCTGGCTGGGGCTGCAGTGGACCGCTCCGTGGCCGCGGCCCCGCTCACCAGGGCCCCCTGCTGGATGACAAGATGAAGTGGCTCTTCCCACCCAGACACAGGTTAGAGAGGAGCCTGGCCCTGTCAGGTGGCACAAAAGGCCAGTAGGGCTACACCACCCTGGGCTCTGGGTCTGGGTCCCTTTCCCACTGAACGGGGACGCAGCGACCTCTGGAACGCATCCCGGCCCCCAGAGGTATACCCGGGCAGGGGCTCGAGCTCAGCCGGCCCATCACAGTTCTGGGGCTGGCCACCGCCACACCTCTCCCAGTCGTTTCCTCCAAGGTCCACGGAAAATCTAAAACCAGGGTTTAAACCGTGGTCGACAGTTCAGCGGGTCAGGGCCTTCTGAGGCTCCCTCGGGCCATGGATTTTCCCAGCTTTAGTCACACATTTGGACTCGGACCCTAAATGCCGAGTTGTACCGGCGCCTTGCCAAGGGCCAGGACTTTGCTCTGGCCCCTCCCCGGGTGAAGGGTCACATCAGGAGGCACCTGCAGGACTTGCAGAACGTGTCTCATAGGTCCCAAGTCTGACCTGGTCCTCCTGGTTTCACCCTGAGCCTGTCTGTACAGTCTGGGGGCCTGTGCCTATAGTCCTCTTCCATTGTGTCCCATGTCCATGTCCCCCAGAGGCCTCCAAGCTGCCCCCTCGTCTCCTATTCCTAGATGGGTCCTTCTTCCACTGACTCTTCCACTTACTCTGTGTGGACACAGAGTAAGGATCTCTAACGTGACTGATTCGTCACCAATGACCGTGGTTTACGATAATCTTCACGCCCTGCACGGACCCACTCTGGAATCAGGACCTCCTCCCACCCCTCCACCCACCGGGCCACGGCTCTCCACGGTGCCCCAGCATGCGTGTGTGCAGGGTCACATGGTCCTGCCTGGCAGTGGGACCCTACAGTCAGGAGCTGTCCTTCAGTAGCCTAGCGAGCACTTCCTGGGTGTTGAGCCTGCTGTTGACTCCCTCAACACCTTCTACCCTAGCACAGGTCGGAAAGGAGTTTTATTCTGAGAACTCTATTTAAAAAAAAACAAACAAACAAACTCAGGGAGCCTGGGTGTCTCAGTGGGTTAAGCTTCTGCCTTCGGCTCAGGTCATGATCTCAGGGTCCTGGGATGGAGCCCCGCATGGGGCTTTCTGCTCAGCAGGGAGCCTGCTTCCCCCCTCCTCTCTCTGCCTGCCTCTCTACCTACTTGTGATCTCTGTCAAATAAATAAAATCTTAAAACAAAAACAAAAAAACCCCAAGACTTTATCTTTTTGAGAGACAGAATGAGCACAAGCAGAGGGAGAAATAGACTCTCCGCCAAGCAGGGAGCCTGATGACAGACTCCACCCCAGGACCCTGGGATCTTGACCTGAGCTGAAGGGACATGCTTCACCGACTGAGCCACCCAGGCAACCCAAGAACTTTTTTTTTTTTTTTTTTTTTTTTAAGATCTTGTTTATTGACAGAGAGCTGCAGAAGAGGGAGAAGCAGACTCCCCATGGAGCAGGGAGCCTGATGCGGGACTTGGTCCCACGACCAAGAGCAGAAGGCAGATGCTTAATGGACTGAGCCATTCAGGAACCCCTGAGATCTATTTTTGAGAATAGTATTTATCAAAACATCGTATCACCCAGTAATTCGCATAGGGAATAAGGGGCACCTTCTCAGAGAGAGACGCCTGGAGGGTGTCGTGAGGCAGTGGTACTGGTCCTGAGAGATGCCGGGCCACAGGGCAGGTGGGCCCTGACCTCCAAGAGCACATTCCAGCTCGGGACCCAGGGTACATGGTGAACATAGCCCCACAGCCTCTCTCTGGAGGTTTTGGATGGTATGTGAGGGGGTCTCTCGAAGGAGGTAGATGCCAGCCCTCCCCTCAAAGCCGAGGTCTGCAAAGGTGTTCAGTGAAGCAGCCTGTGTTCTGGGACCAGCCCCATAGAAACTGGGGACCTCAGACCTTCCCCAAACCAGGCTTCCTTCCAGCTTTCTGACGACCTCACTTTGCTGCTCCTGCACAGGTTGGTACAAGAGGTGAATGGAAGCTGGGCGGGCGCCTTGAGAAGGCACAGCCAAGATACCCAAACACCGCGGCCCGTTAGGCCAGAGCCTCGTTTAGGCCCTGGTTTTCACAGCTGTGGTCACTGGCTGCACCATCATCACCTGCGTCAAGGCCCGTGGACTGCACGCAGCACAGAGAGGCAGACTCGAGAGTAAGGCTCATTCGCAGCCACAATGGGATCGGGTCTGCTTTGTCCCCCCACTGCTCCCTGCTTTTTTTTTTTTTTTTTAAAGATTTTATTTATTTATTTGACAGACAGTAGTGCAAGTAGGCAGAGAGGCAGGCAGAGAGAGAGGAGGAAGCAGGCTCCCTGCTGAGCAGAGAGCCCGACGTGGGGCTTGATCAGAGGACTCTGGGATCATGACCTGAACCGAAGGCAGAGGCTTTAACCCACTGAACCACCCAGGCGCCCCATCTGCTTTTTCTTTTAAAGATTTAATTTACTTACAGAGACAGTGAGAGGGAACACAAGCAGGGGGAGTGGGAGGAGAAGCAGGCTTTCCACCAAAAAGGGAGCCTGACACAGGTCTCAATCCCAGGACCCCAGGGATCATGACCTGAACCGAAGGCAGATGCTTAACCAACGGAGCCACCCAGGTGCCCTAAACACTTTAGATTAGAATCACAAATTCAATATATTTGAGTCACTGAAAGTCTCTAATAGATGCATTCCGTTAAGTGTATCCTGCAGAGTGGTCCGTGCCCGGTGTGGCACATGGAGACACCGGAAAGCTGTTTTACTCTGGTCATTAGACCTTTTTTTTTTTTTTTTAATTATTTGACAGACAGAGATCACAAGTAGGCAGAGAGTCAGGCAGAGGGAGAGGGGGAGGTAGGCTCCCCGCTGAGCAGGGAGCCAGATGCGGGGCTCGATCCCAGGACCCTGGGATCACAACCTCAGAGGCAGACGCTTAAGGACTGAGCCACTCAGGTGCCCCTTGTTCTCCCCTTGACCTCCCCTTGACCCGGAAGTTCTTGTCTGTTGTCAAGACTACGTGTTCTGGAGTGACACCGCTCCAAACCATGACAAGCTAATCAGCGTCAGGGGACCGTCCATTTGTTCGCTCTGTCCCCGTCAGCAGAAGAAAACCAAGCCCCGATAGGCAGGCATCTAAATGCGGGTCAAATCCAAGATGCGATAACCTCCTCTACCAGGCCCCAAATCCCGGTCTGTAAGGTTGGGGTTGTGGCAATGACAAACGCCGACAGGGCAGCAGCCATGAAGCGAAGCGCCACGCATTCCCCAGAGAGCAGAAGGGACTTTGCTTGCAACTACCGGTCATTCATCTGTTGGACCGTCAGGCCAGGGCCCCACGGACGCTGGGGCGGACACGTTCACGGCCTTTCTGTGCGGAAGGCCCAGCTCCTGACAAGGCCCCCGTGCAGACAGACATCAAAGCGGAGACAACCACCCTTGCCTGGGGCCGGCTCCTCTGGCGGGGGGAGCCCTGCACGGGAGGCGAGAAAGCGCCCTCACAAGCCCCCTCCCGGCCGCGCGAGAGCCCTTCTCTCGGGGCGCGCTCCGGGGACGGCGATGTCACACGGCCCACGCCGCTGCGTGCGGGCGCTTCGCCGCTTCCCGCCGAGCCGCGAGGCTGGCAACGAGTCCTGGGGCTAGCGGCGGGGCCTCTCCGACGGGGAAGCGAGCGCGAGGGCCGTTCGGGCGTGTTCGCGGGGAGGGCGGCCGGGGGAGCAGAGCGGCGGGGGAGGAGGGACACGCTGGTCGGCCGCGACCACCGCCCGCAGCACCGGGATTTCCGCTCTGCAGAAGCCGCCGCCAGCCGAGCCGGGACGCGCGGACCGAGCACGGGGGTCCCGTGGGCGCTGGTGGCGGCTCCGTCCCGGCGGGCGCGTCCCGCCTGTGCTCGGCGGCGGCCGCGTCCCCGGTTCCGGACCCGCGGGCGCACGGCCCGGCCTCCCCCGCTTCCTCGCCCGCCTTCCGGCCCCAGCACGTCCCGGCTCGGTCTTCCCCGCGCCTCCTCGGCGCCCCGACCCGCCGCCGCCGTCGCTGCCTCCACCGGGCCCGCCCCGACCCGCCGAGCCCCACGTGCCGCCGTCCGCGTCCTTAGCCGCGATCCCTCACAGGCACCGCCCGAACCTCACGCACACCGGAAGTTGCGTTAGCCCAGCTTCCGGCTTGCGGAGCTAGGGTGGTGGGTGGGAGGTGTCAGTTACGGACAGGCCGTCCAATCAAAATGCAACACGAGGGGTTTCAGAGGCGCAGGCGCAGCCTCCCCCTCATCTGAGAACTCCGCCCCACTGCCACGTTCGACGAGGGATCGCGCGGGGGTGCGCGCATCTCCCAGCCAATCAGGAGCCACAGAGCCCGGGTCCCCACAGGCAGCAGCCATTCCAGACCCACGAAAGGTGTAGGAGAAAGCCACCAGTCACAAGTCGAGGAAGAGAAAGTTCTCCACCGGAAGCCAATGAGAAGCCCAGGAAGAGTGCGAGCGCGAGCTCCCCGACCAATCCCGGGAGAGAGGGAGGGCGGCCTCCACGGCGATTCCGAATCCGGGGTCGGGGGCCAGTGCGGGTAGCCAGTCCGAGGGCTTCGAAGGCGGGCCCCGACGCCCATCAGCCAATCGGGCGCGGGCGCGGGCGGGCGCGCGCTCGGCTGCGTTCGGGCTTATAGGGGCGGGGCGGCCGGCGCGCGCTCTCGTGGCCTCGCTGTCCCGGCGGCGCCAACCGAAGCGCCGCGCCCGCTGCCGACATGCTGCGCCGCGCTCTGCTCTGCCTGGCCCTGGCCGCGCTAACGCGCGCGGGCGCCGCCGCCCCGGAGGAGGAGGACCACGTCCTGGTGCTCAACAAGGGCAACTTCGAGGAGGCGCTGGCGGCCCACAAGTACCTGCTGGTGGAGTTCTGTGAGTGCCGCGGTCCGGGCCGGGCCTGGCCGCCGCGGGGCGGGGACGGGGGTCGGGAGCCGGGGGCAGGCGGGCAGGCGGCGCTCCGGGGCGCCCGCCCCCACCCCCGGCTGCACGGGCCGCCGCCCCTCGACAGCCTGCGGAGCTGCTGTCAGTCCTGGGGCCGCCCCTCCTGCCCGAGCCGGACTCCGCGGGTGACGGCAGGTCCACGGCCAGCTCGTGCCTTTGTGCCCGCTGTCCGCGTGGCAGGTCCCTCCGTGGGACGGAAGAGCGGGGGACCCCTGTGAGCCGCCGCAATTACAAAGGGGCTCTCGGAGGACAGCCCCCCGCCTGCCCCCGGCCGGCCCAGGGCGCGCGTCCCTTCGGGCACTGCCTTGCAGCGTGCTGTCCACCCGCACCCAGCGCCCGTGTGCGTGTAAGTGTTGACGCGGCCCGGCCGGAATCTCGAGCCCCGTGGGGCTGCCGGCCTCAGCGGAGAGGTAGCTCTGCTGCCGCGGTGCACGAGCCTCTGCTAAGCACGAGCGTCCGGGCCACTGTGCACAGGTGCGGCTCGCACTGGCGACCAGCTCTTAGCCTCCCTGGGTTCCCCAAGGGCAGTGCCAGGGACATGGCTGCCGGTGCTGCCCGCAGTGATGGGAGGGTCCCCGTCGCTAGAGTCTGTCCAGTGCTGACCGGCGGAGCAGCGGGGCTGGTGCAGCGGGGCTGGTGCGGTTTGTCCTTCTGGCCTCTGTCCCAGTCCTGCTCCCGAGCCCCGAGCTATCAGCCTAGCTGTGCGTGTTCCCGGGGTTATCTGGGTGAGCAGATAAGATTTTCATAGAAGGAAGTATGGAGGAGAAGGTGGGGGCAGCACTTGGGCAGTGCCACTCTCTAGCACCCCACTTTCTTTTTCAGATGCCCCTTGGTGCGGCCACTGCAAGGCCCTGGCCCCCGAGTACGCCAAAGCCGCTGGGAAGCTGAAGGCAGAAGGTTCGGAGATCAGGCTGGCCAAGGTCGATGCCACGGAAGAGTCTGATCTGGCCCAGCAGTACGGGGTCCGTGGCTACCCTACGATCAAGTTCTTCAAGAACGGGGACACAGCTGCTCCCAGGGAGTACACAGGTGTGACGCCACGCTGCCCCGGAACGTGGCGCGTAGCTGAGGGGTGGGAGGGGAGCCTGTTCTCCGTCCAGTTCCGCCTCTCAGGCCCTTGTGAGGAGTGTCCAGCCGACCCTGCAGCGTCTCTCTTGTGGAGAGGGACAGCCTTCAGGGCTGGCGAGCTGAGGGCTGAGGCGCCCCGAGACTGACTGGGGAGGAGAGGAAGGCTGGGGCCCTTGGGACCACACGGAGGAGCAAGTGTAGTGACCACTAACTCGGGTGTTCCAGCTGCCAAGCCGAGTGCCGCCAGGGACAGGCCAACATCAGGCGCCTGTCACAGCCGAGCTCTGTGCGGCGCGAGCCCTTGTGGCTGCCTCGGGGGCTGGGCCCCTGTGGCCTGGTAGGTACTGATGAAAGGAGAGACTTTTGTCTCTAGAACCGGTTCTGTGGCTCTGCTGTCGGAAAGCTCTGGAGGAGCCTCGTTAGTCCTGACGCCGGCGACTCTGGGCTCCTTCCTGTGCTGCTGCTTATGGTTCCGGTGTTCGCTTTTGGAACAGGAAGCGCACACTTCTACGATCCATCGCTGACGCGTGGCTTTGGCGAATGAGACTGCCACTCCTAATCCCACCTGTAATGGTGACTCAGCCTTGAGCCGCCACTTAGCAGAGCCCTTTCTCGGGGCGAGCTCCCGCAGCCTTTCTCAGGCCGGACCAGGCAGCTGCGCTGCGGGCGGGAGCGAGTGGCCTCGGGCTCAGAGGCAGCGGGCTTCTGGCTGTCCATCTTGTCGGCCCTGGGTGGCACGCGGATGCACCATCGCTCTGCCCTGCTGGTCCGGCAGGCACGTGCGGTCGGCCACCCCGCAGACGCGACACCGGAGTGGCCGGGATGCCCGAGGCCAGCTGGAGCTCTGCCAGTTGTCATAGGAAAAGCTGGTGTTCAGCAGACTTCCCAAGCAGCCCTCTTACTTTTTTTCTTTTTTCCAAGTTCCACCGCAGCTTTAATTAAGATGACGCGTAGAGTGGGCGGGGGAAGTGTGTGCGCGCGCGCTCAGTGATCGTCCGTGTCAGGGAGATTCCGAAAATGCAGAGGGACCAGGGAAGGAAAAGGAATTGTAACTATCGCCAGAGGCAGCCACTGCCCTTCCCTGCGGCTCTGTTGCAGCTTCTCACGCGCACAGAAGAGTCTTGTTGGCGGTAGGACTCACACGGGTGTGGGGACGAGGTGGCTGTCGCGTGGTAGGGGGATAGGCTGCTGTGGCTCGGGCAGGGCGGGCCCAGCTCTCAGCGGAACCGCGTGTGTTTGGGCGCAGCTGGCCGGGAGGCCGAGGACATCGTGAATTGGCTGAAGAAGCGCACAGGCCCGGCCGCCACCACGCTGCCCGACACGGCGGCCGCAGAGGCCTTGCTGGAGTCCAGCGAGGTGACTGTCATCGGCTTCTTCAAGGTAGAGCTTGGGGGCTTCCTCTCAGAGCCTTCTGCCCCCTAGCGTGGGAGGACGGTTCCCCGCAGGCCAGGCCCGACGGGGGCCCGCGGAGCCGGGGACTGTGGCCACCTCTACAGCTTCTCCTCTGTAGGACGTGGAGTCAGACTTTGCCAAGCAGTTCCTGCTGGCAGCGGAGGCTGTCGACGACATACCTTTTGGGATCACGTCCAACAGTGACGTGTTCTCCAGATACCAGCTGGCCGGGGACGGGGTCGTGCTCTTCAAGAAGGTGAGTCGCCCTCCCTCGGCCCCACCCCGCGTGCTGAGATACCGTTGGGGGTGGGGGGGCTGCTTTCCTTATCGCCCGGGGCTGGCGGACCTTGGCCGGGCGGTGCTGCCCCGCCCCGGCCCCCCGACTCACTGAGGGCCAGTTGTGCAACGTTGTGCAACGTCCGGCCAGAGGAGCCGCTTGGATGCGGCCTTCAGACTTTGCGCCGTGGGGTTGCTGTGGCCCGCGTGGCGGCTGCCGGGCCGTGTCTAACGAGAGCACGGCCGCCTTGCAGGGTTGGCTCTTCTAAAAGAGCCCGGGAAGAACGGCACAGGTCGCGCCGTGACTGGTTCCGAGCGCAGGATCATAATTACGCAGACAGTGTCGTGCGACCGGCACTCCTGCTTCTGCGATGTCCGGCTCGCTGGAAACAGAGACTGAGCGTTGGCGCTTGGGCAGGTGTTCCCACCGCCAGCCCAGCCCGGCCCCTGTGGTGTGGCGGGCACGGGTCCTGGGCCACGTGCCCTTCAATTGCCTGCACCGTTGCTGGGACGAGGCCTGGCTCGCATGTGCAGCGTGACCATGGGGTCACAGGGTCTTTCGATTTTTGTTTTGGCCCCCACACAGCCAGGTGGGCTGGCTGAACCCCCATGATGTCTGAGTACACTTTCCTGCCTTGGCCTGTGGTGTGTCCGTGCGGTTCCGATGGCGCAGGCGGTGGAGAGGGAGAACGCGCCTGGAGAGTGGGGACGGGGCGGCTGGAAATCGGGTCTCTGAGTCCTGGTTTGTCTCTGTGGGAAGCAGGCAGGTTCAGAGCTCCAATAGAGCAGTACAGTGTGTGGTCCAAAGGGGTGCCAGGCTCCAGGCGGGGGCCACCGTGTGTGCGCCCCCTCGCATGTGGGGCTGCTGGGCCAAGTGACCAAAGACAGGCCACAGTCAGCTCTCCGTAGTAACTGCTGCATCTGGCACTATGCCAGGCACTGGCAGGGGGGCCTAGGTGTCTCCCAGGCAGAGGACCGGGGACATGCTGGTTTGGGGTGGCTTTCTTCTGCTGTCCTTGCCATTCCGTTCTTTCTCTGGTCCATCCTGCCTCAGGAGACCTCCAGGCGCTGCCTTCGCTCTCAAAGGGAGCGGCTTTGCTAGATTAGCCATTAGTCCTCGCACGGGCGCCCGGGAGATCCCAGTTACACGTGTGACGAGGGGAGCTCCTGGGAGCCTCTGGGGCGTTGGAGGGGTGGGCCTCGGGGTGGCGGGAGTCCTGGATCCTGAGGTTAAGGCTGACGGAGGAAGGAGTTTCTCTGATGCCACCGAGGCCAGTATGCTCTCCTGCGTCCACACAGTGCTCCCTCACCGCAGAGCCCCAGTTGTCTTTTTTTTTTTTTTTTTTAAGATTTTATTTATTTGTTTGAGAGAGGAAAAGAAGGGAGGAGGAGGCAAAGACAGAGGGAGAAGCAGGTCCCACGCTGAGCAGGGAGCCTGATGCAGGACTCGATCCCAGGACCCCGGGACCATGACCTGAGCTGGAGGCAGACACCCACCCATCTGAGCCCCCCAGGCACCCCCAGAGCACCAGTTTTCATGCAGGACCTGTGGGTGCTCACGTGTCCGTGAGGGTCTGTGGAGGCTTCATGTGCAGGAGCTCAGTGGGTGAACCGACCACCGTGTGCTTCCTGTGGTCCTTGCTCGCAGGGCACAGCCGGCCCCCTTGGGTCTGATGCCTGTTGGGGGCAGCCTTGAGCAGAAGCCCGGTAGAGTCCAGGGACTTGGTGCTGCGTGGGTCAGCGGGAGTCACAGCTGCCGTCCCGTGGGCCACGCCACGGACGAGAGGAGGGAGGCTCAGGTCCAGCTCCTGAGCTCCTGCCGGGCAGCCGCCCGTCTCCTGCGGGCGATCAGCCCTGTTCCTCAAAGTACGCTGGGTCTTCCTCTCTGCCCAGGGCCGTTGGGGGGTTGGGGGCACGCTGAGCCGGGTGCCTTCCCAGCAGGACAGGGCAGGCGGGCTCCCAGGAGTGGCCAGCAGCCGCTCACTGGAAGGGTGGGGACTTGGGTCATGGGTCACTGCCTGTTGGACTTTTGGTTTGAGAGCTGCTTACACTGTGTCTTTGTCACAGGGTTTGCTTTTTTTTTTTAATTCTTTGAAGCTGGAGGCCGAGGAGTAGCTGTGGGGCTAGGCTTCTCCTCCACTGCCTACAGCGTCGAGCCTTTTGGGGACGTTAGTCGCTGGGGCCCGATGCAGCTGTCCCTAGCTAGGTGAGAGCTGATTGTTTTTCACTAACGTAGACAGTGAGCATCGTGGGATGCGGTACCGTTACTGAAAAGATCATGTCTCGAGACAGGTGCGTGGGGCAACTCTGCTCTTCAGGCCCCGCATGAAATCGGGCAGACCGCTCCCAGCGTGGGGGCGGAGACGGTTCTGGGGAAGTGGCGGGCGCCACGGCCCGTGTGCCACTCGGAGGGGCTCAGCAGCTTGCTGGGGGCGCAGGCTTGGTGGGGCCCAGCCTCCTGGCTCCTCGCCGCCTTTCCCTCTTCTCCATCCCAGGTTTGGGGGAGAGCAAGCAGGCTTCAGTTCCGCCCGGGAGAGGGGCTCCCAGTGCCCAACCCTTGGTCCAGTCAACCCGAGCAGCCCCGTCCTGGTCAGGATGGAGCTCCGGCTCGAGCGGAATGTTGGCGGGAGCGGGGAGCGGCCGCCTGCTCTTGCAGAAGTTCCTCTGGGGAAGGAAAGGGTGGTAGTTTCTGTCTGTGGGTCTGATTTGTCCGTTCAGGGGAAGGACGGACGGAAGGCTCACCCGGACAGGCTCAGGTAGCCGTCGGCCCGTCTGTGTGCCCCATCCAGAGCCGCAGCTGCGGCTGGGCTCCCGTTGGGCCTCTCTGGGGAACAGCTCGGCCTTCCGCCTTCGGGCCCCGGGGCTCCTCAAGCTCTTCATGTTATTGGGGATCCCAGAGAACTGGAGTGGCTGCATGTTATACTTACTGGTTTTTATTGGGTAAGAAATTAGAACTGAGAAATTTTTTTTTTTCCTAAAGATTTTATTTATTTGAGAAAGAGGCAGAGGGAGAAGCAGGCTCCCCGCTGAGCAGGGGGCCCAAGCGGGACTGGATGCCAGGACCCTGAGACCATGACCCGAGCTGAAGGCAGATGATTCACCGACTGAGCCACCCAGGGGCACCCGGCTGGCATAGTGGGAAGAGCGGGTGACCCTTGACCTCAGGGTTGAGAGTTCCAGGCCCAGGTGGGGCAAGGAGGCGACTTAAACCTCGTCCATCTAAAAACAAGTTACTTGTAATGACTTGTGAAAGTCGGTTTTTCCACGCTGACTGCGGCTGGGCGGTGAGAGTGTTGGGTTTCTGGCAGTCACTGGCGTCTGCCTGGTGGAGGCAGCCCTGGCTGACCTCTGTCTGTCTGGACGTCCCTCATCTCCGCTTCTGTCCAAGGGCACGGCGGGCCCAGGAGAAGGTGCGTTCGGAGGCCGAGCAGGAAACTGCAGCCGCTGTGAAAGGCCCCGTGCCTTCCCCTTTGTGTCGCTGTTGCCTGGGGCTGGAGAGGGGCTGCCCTCTGCAGCTCGCCCCGGGCTTTGTTTCGTGCACAGAGGCATGTGGCTTCTGCTCCCTGTTGCTCTTGAAGCCGGACTGGAAGGGGGCTGCCAGACCGCCAAGCCCGGGCTGCCTGTGGGGGGCGCCGTGGGAGGCTCTGGGAGCACCAGGGTCCTCCCGGCCCTCTCTGCATCCACAGTTCGACGAAGGCCGCAACAACTTTGAGGGGGACATCACCAAAGAGAAGCTGCTGGACTTCATCAAGCACAACCAGCTACCGCTGGTCATCGAGTTCACGGAGCAGGTGTGGCTCTCCTGTGGGTCCTGCGCCCTGAGGATGGGGTGGCGTGGGAGGGTCACGAGGTCCCGGCCCCAGGGACCCCTCGATACGTGGTGTTGCCTCGGTGGCATCGCAGCCCCCGAGGGAATCTCGTTGGCGGCTCAGTTCGTGGCCCAGACCCAGTGCCCTCTGCTTACAACACAGACGGCCCCAAAGATCTTCGGAGGTGAAATCAAGACCCACATCCTGCTGTTCCTGCCCAGGAGCGTGCCCGACCACGACCGCAAGCTGGGCAGCTTCCAGACGGCTGCCCAGCGGTTCAAGGGGAAGGTGAGCCCCGGCGCGCCTGCCGCGGGCGGAGGGCGGGAGCCGCTGCGGCCCCACCTGACCGCGCCGCTTCCGCCCAGATCCTGTTCATCTTCATCGACAGCGACCACGCCGACAACCAGCGCATCCTCGAGTTCTTCGGCCTCAAGAAGGAGGAGTGCCCCGCCGTGCGCCTCATCACGCTGGAGGAGGAGATGACCAAGTACAAGCCGGAGTCCGACGAGCTGACGGCGGCAAAGATCGAGGAGTTCTGCCATCGCTTCCTGGAGGGCAAGATCAAGGTGGGGCAGCCGCGTCCCGGCCTGTGCCGGCCTCTGGGCCCTCGGGGCTCCCCTGCTTAGGGAGCGCGAGCATCCCCGACCTCCGGGCACGGTCCTCTCCTGCGGCTCCGAGGGCCGGTGTGGGGGCTCCGGGCGTCCATGACCCTGTCCTCCTGCCCTCCAGCCCCACCTCATGAGCCAGGAGCTGCCCGAAGACTGGGACAAGCAGCCTGTCAAGGTGCTGGTTGGGAAGAACTTTGAAGAAGTTGCCTTCGATGAGAAAAAGAACGTCTTTGTGGAATTCTGTAAGTAAAGTCCCTTCAGCGCCCCCGGGTCTGTCCGCCTCGCGAGGACGTGCGCGCAGGGGGCAGGCAGCGGGCGGCTCTGGGCACCTCGGCACAGCTCTCTTTCAGATGCCCCGTGGTGTGGCCACTGCAAACAGCTGGCTCCCATTTGGGATAAGCTGGGAGAGACGTACAAGGACCACGAAAACATCGTCATCGCCAAGATGGACTCCACGGCCAACGAGGTGGAGGCCGTGAAAGTGCACAGCTTCCCCACGCTGAAGTTCTTCCCCGCCAGCACGGACAGGACGGTGCGTGGCCGGCCTGGGCTTGGGGGGCGGGGGGCGGGGAACTGCCCAGCTCCCTGACCCTACACCCCCCCACAGGTCATTGATTACAACGGGGAGCGGACACTAGACGGTTTTAAGAAGTTCTTGGAGAGTGGTGGCCAGGATGGGGCTGGGGACGATGACGTGAGTGGGGGTCGGTGGGCGCCGCTGGAGGGGCATGCGTGTGTCCCCAGGCCAGGCAGAGCCACTCTCCCTGCGGAGTGCTCCGGGCGGCGGCCTTCAGGGGGTCTCGGAGTGCTGGTGTTTGCTCGCGGCACCTTAGACTCCTCCCGTAAGGCCCCCTGCCAGCCGGGACTCAGGCTCCTCCCCAGCTGGGTGGCTGAGGTGTCCTGCCGGACAGCAACTTGGGCCTTGGGCGGCTGGGGCAAAGCAGAGGATCGTCTGCTGGGTGGAGGGTGGGGGCAGAAGGGGCAGCAGGCCTGCCAAGGGAGCACGCCGTGAAGCTGGCATAGGGCTGTCACTGGCCCCACAGACCCTGGAGGCTGGGGTCCTGGGCTCCCCTCCCCGTCTTTCTCGTTGGCGGAAGGCCCCCTCGCGTCCCCTCGTAGAGACCAGAGTTGTTCGCTTCTGTCCGCGTGGCCAGCTGGGCTGCAGGGCCCGGGTGATGGGCCCGGGCTGTGCCACCGGCCTGTCCCAGTGGGTTTCTTCATGTCCTCCCTCCTCCACCGCAGGATATGGAAGATCTGGAAGAAGCGGAAGAGCCTGACCTGGAGGAGGAGGACGATCAGAGAGCCGCGCGAGACGAGCTGTGAGGTGCAGCGTGCAGACCTGGCGCCCCAGACGCGACCCCCGCCCCCCCCCGGGCAGCGCCGCCCAGCGGCGCGGCCTCCGGAAGCCCGAGGACCCCCACGGGAAGGAGGGGACACCGACCGGAAATGCAGGGAATTTTTCTGAAGCAACACTTTATCCCAGCGTGTAAATTTAGACCCGTCTCTTACTTGTGCTTCTCAGTGTTTGGAAAGGGATTTCTCTCTGGGCCAGCTCACTGTGGCGGGCTGCTGTTTTTTGTTTTTTTTTGTTTTTTTTTAAATTGTGATGTACTTTTTCGTACATGTTCTGTCCAAAGTGCTTGTTAAAATGTCTCTGAATCTCATGCAGGTGAAGTCTCCTTCCTGTTAGGGTTTATACTATCACTTTAAGAAATTCCATTTGTGGGATTTTGAGACATTTTTGGACATCAGGGTGTCCCACTGTGGCAGGACCTACCTGGAGACTCCTGTCCCCCGTGTGGGAGGGGCCGGCCGGGTCCCTCTCCCCTCCTGCTGGTACCGCGTGACGGAGCGTGGGTCTCGTGTTGTTGGCTTAGGTGGAGACTCTAGGTCTCCGTCACAGGGGCCTTGTACGACTGGAGGGGGTGCTGGATGCTGGCTGAGCCCAGGGCAGACCCGGGCGGCCCCCCTTCCTCCCCGAGCCAGGCTCCCCGGTGCTCTGTGACTTCCAGCACCACCTGAGGCCTGCGGCTGGCACAACCAGAACCCTCCATTTCCAGGCTGGGCAACGGCCAAGGGTGCTTGAGCCGAACCACGTGTGGGCTGTTCTTCAGCCGTTTCTAACAATATTGGAATTGAATACATTGGCCAAATAAAGTTGAAATTTTACTACCTCTCGTCTCTGCTTCACAAGCTCTCCATGCGGCGGGGAGTGGGCCGGGGTTAGGCCTCTCCCCATTGGGGCAGCTTTCTCGGAGCGTGGGGCGTCCATGGAAGCCACAGGTGTGTCCCAGGTGGTCAGTCGCCAAGCACGCACGGCCACGGGTGCTGCAGCTGGATGGGGGTGGGGGTCTGGTGCTGTCCTGGGGCATCCCGCTGCCTTGGGACATAAGGCGGCCACTTGTGGAGCCTGCCCGGCCAGCGCCAAGGCTTCCTGCCGCTGGGGGTCTGACAAGGAACCTTGGCGTGCGCTTTGGCACGGGTGACCCAGTGGCATTGCTCTGCTTACCACTGAGCCACACTGGTCAGGGTCACGTGTTCAAATAGCAAATCTCCCAGGTTTTAAAATGTGATTTGACCAGTAGAACCTCAGCTCGCTTGGAGTTCATGCTGAGAGAACTGGTTTTCCTGGATGGTGGGCCCAGCTGCGGTGCGGGGCCCACAGTGTGTGGGAGCCCGATGGTGACTCCTTGGGTCCCTGGGGAGTGTGCGGGCACCTGTGGGTCCCTCTTGAGAGCAGGAGAGGGGCTCCACAACAGCTTGCAGGACTCTGATGGTCGCCCAGCCGTCCCCACCCGGGGCTTTGCATCTGTTGGTCTCTGAGCATGTCTACAGCAGCAGGTGGGATGGAAGGGCTGCCTGCCGATGTTCTGGGAGGGAACGCACATGAAGATTCGGTCCACCTTGGGTCAAGGACAGCATGGATCGTAGTTCCCGAGAAGCCCAGCAGCACACAGGCGTTGTTCAGTCCCTGGCCCCCAGCTCTGATGACCGCGTGCCGGTGGGGGCTGCGCCGGTGGTGCAGACGCGCCCATACGGTGGGCTGCCGTCGGCTCCTCTCGGTGTTCTCTGCTCACTTCGTGTGCCTGCCCGTGTCCTCCCTGCCGCTGGCAGCCCGGCCTCCAGGCCGGCACAGACCCAGCCCAGGGGAGGAGAGCAGTACCCAGCCAGCGTGCTGGGAAGACCCAGTGTTAGCACCCTAGGCAGTACCAGTCAGGCCCTCAGCCACTCCTCCCCTCGGTGGCCCTGGTCCTTGGGTGGCCTGCGCCGGCGCCGGCTTCTAGCTCTTCCACTCCAGGGTTTATGTGTGTTGCGCCTTGGTCCTAGGAGGGCGGTAGCCCTGCCCGCAAAATGTGAGCTGCTCCCCCAGGGGGACACATGGCCTCCGGTGGAGGAAGCCAGCACAGGGCGAGGCCATCGGGAGTCAGAGCTGCGCGCTGGGGGAGGCTGTACTCCCGGCCCCAGCGGCAGGGGTGGGTGACCCTACGACCCATCTGTGCCAAGCCGTGTCCTGCGCACGGAGAGCCGGGCCGTCATGTGCTCCCGGGGGGGGAGTGAGTCACCCATACCTTTCCCCTTTCGCAGAGGCAGCTGATGGGCACATTCCAGGGCCCAGGGTTGGCCAGGAGGCTGCGCGGTAGAGTCCAAGACCTGGCAGGGCCGCCGGGTTAGCAGGGTGCTCAGCTCCGGCTTAGCAGCCTGGGACATCCCAAATCTCTCTTTCCCCTCCCCGCTTCTCTTCCGCTCTCTGCAGGTGCTTAGAGGCTGCTGTCCGACCGCGCACCAGCCCCTTGAGGTCCTCCAGCCACAAAGCCTGCCGGCAGGAGGGCACCTGGCAATAGCCCTGCACCCGTTCTCCTAACCGGCCCCCAGGCTCCCGCTTTTCCTTGGACTTTCAGAGTAAGCTTCTTGGATTAATTAAATGTCTTAGTTGGCTGTAAGGCTCTAGAAGGCAGAAGCCTAGCATCTTACAAACCGGGTCACTTCACAAGTGCCCGTGGGCATCAGGGGCCAAGCTGGATTGATCTGGTTCGGCTCCACCATGGCTGCGGGAGAGGGAGGCTCTGCAAACAGCCTCGGGTCAGACGCTCAGCCCTGGCTTCTGACCAAAGGTTTCCAAAAGGGGATGCCTCAGGTCACACCCGTGGTTTAGAGGACAGTCCCGTGTCCTCGCTAGAATAAAAAGCACATTAAATATCTTTCGGGGGGTCTGTTGTGACTGGCAGGAAGGGCTTTGGGCACCTGTCCCTTCTCTGATCCAGATGGAAACACCAAAGCTGCAAACTGCCAAGCTCTCAGCCCACCTCAGTCAGACGGACCAGGGGCTGCATCACTGCGGTTGCCAACAGGCTGGCGCGGACTGGCCTGTCTCTAGCCCGAAGCTGGGTCACTGTCGGGAAGGGCTGCGCCCTTGGCAGCTGTATCCGGGGTTCTGGGAGGACAAACACAACTTTCCACGACACCAGAATAGGCAATCTTCACATCAAAAGAAAGTTCCTTCTCCTGGAAACCAGCCAGAAGCTATACTGACCCCTCCCAAGTGACCAGGAGTTACAATCAGCTGGCACCAGCCTCTGAGCCTGCAGTGCAGGGCACTGGGCACCAGCCCTGTATCGGGCCCCAGCAGCAGCAGGCGGGGCTCTGGAAAGGGCTGGGAAAACCTGTCGGGGCGGGTAGTCTGTCCGAGGCACTGCCCCTCTTCTCCACAGCATCTGGCCCAAGGCTTTGCACCTAGAGGGTGTTAAACACACGTGTTGATTTGGTTTTGTTGGATCCAAACCAGCCTGGTGACACAAGGCTGCTGGTAAGCAGGCTGCCTGCTCCATCCCTGTACCCAGCGCCCGTCCATCTGGGCTCTGTCCTCATTCAGGATTTGGGTGACCACCCAGGGGGATCGCGCCCACGTTACAGGCTGCACCGCATCCTTCCGATCTTCTGATGTGGCAGTGCTAACCCCAGAACCCCAGACTGTGATCTTATTTGGAAATACAGGAGTCACAGATGTGATCAGTCAAGATAAGGTCATGCTGGAATAGGAAGACCCTGATCCAATGATTGAGATTCTTACAAAAAGGGGAAATCTGGACACGCACAGGAAGGGAGGAGACAACGTGGGCAGAGATGCGGTGATACATCTCTGAGCCGGAAGAATACCAAGGACCACCACCAAAAGCCAGGAGAGGGGCCTGGAACGGATTCTCCTTCTGAAGGAAGCAACCCTGCAACTCCTTGATCTTGGGCTTCTGGCCTTTAGAACCACAAGAAAATCAGGTTTAAGTCCCCAGTCTGAGACTTGGTGACAGCAGCCTTAATAAATGCAGCCAGCCAGCCTCACGTGCTGCGGGGGCTGACCCTGAGCCCCCAGACCTGCTCCTGGGAGTGTGCTCATGTCTACTGCTTCTCTCCAGTGAAGCCGGACCACCTCCACACACTGGTAGCCACAGTGGGACCGCTCATGTTGGCCCAGCTGGCTGGGCATCTCCTTAGCATTCCGCTGGTTCCACTCCCACAGGTGTCTAGGCCAAGCAGAGCCCACACCCCACGGGGTATAATGGCCCCTCCTGGAGGAGCAGATGGCACGCTCTCTCAAGTGGGAGCACGGGTGTCCTTGGCACCAAGGCGGGATACTGGAAGCAGGGAAGTGTGGGGGATGGGGACATGAGGATGGAGAGAAACAGGGCAGCACGGGCTGGGCAACTGGGAACCAAGGTGTTTATTTGGATTCTGACCTGGGAAGTTTCTGAGGAGGAGGGCAGCATGGTGCAAGCCTGAGGGGAGGTGACAAGTGACAGGGAGGGATACAGGTAGGGCTGGACCTGCTCTGGCATGGTCAGGGCCCTGTGCCTCCTCCTTGGCTGGGGGGCAGCCCCCTTGTTCTCCGGGAGGCGGACATGGCCACCCTCACCGTACACTATGGCCTTTTCTCTGTGCCTCCATGCCTTTGGCAGGTACCTGGGCCCTCTCCATGACCTTGGCAGCCGCTCGCCTTCCCCATGGGTCCTGTCCTTCTAGTGCCTTCTCCTGCCCTCTGTAAGGCACCTTCTGGGCCCAGCTGTGGGGCAGACGGCAGTGGCCAGGAAGGATCTGACCCCTTTGGCCGGGGCACAGCGACAGGTGGGCTGAAAGATGAACCACTGAACATGATCCTGCGCGCAGCGCCGGCGCTGCTCCGTTTCAGCCCCTCCCTGACAGAGCATGACTGCGCAGCTTTATATAGCGCCGCGGTCCTTTATAAGACGGAGGCGCCTGGTGGCCCAGGAGCGCGGTGGCGGCAGCGGCGGAGGAGACTGCATGCGCGGTGTGATCCCGGCCGGACACGTCCCTTCCCCGAGCAGCAGGGTCCCCACACGGTGGGCCCGCCACAGCACCCAGGATGCCCAGCAGGACCAGCCGCTATGCCCGGTACAGCCCCCGGCAACGGCGCAGGCGGCTGCTGGCCGACCGCAGCGTGCGCTTCCCTAACGACGTCCTGTTCTTGGACCACATCCGCCAAGGGGACCTGGAGCAGGTGGGGCGCTTCATCCGGGCTCGGAAGGTCGCCCTGGACACCATCCACCCCTCAGGTGAGTGCTGTGTGGCCTAGCACTCGGTCTGTGCGGTATCGGGGAAGGCTCCGCCCTGACCCCTGCTGCCTGGCCGTGCCCTGTGCAGGCCTGGCCGCCCTGCACGAGGCTGTGCTCTCCGGGAACCTGGAGTGTGTGAAGCTGCTGGTCAAGCACGGGGCTGACATCCACCAGCGGGATGAGACCGGCTGGACGCCTCTGCACATCGCTTGCAGCGATGGGTACCCGGACATAGCCAGGTGAGGGGGCTGGTGGTGGGCTCCGTCCCCACCGCTCTGGCCTCAAGGAGCCTCCCGGATGTGGTCTGGGTGGCCCAGGTCCAGCTGAGAACCCCACAAGCTCCTGAACCTCCTTTCTGTTGTCTTCCTGGCGGGCTGGACAGTTGTTTCCGCAGGGTCAGGTTCCCTCCTCTGCGCCCCTCCTGCAGAAACCCTATAAGGGTGTGTGTCAGCGGCAGCCCGCGGCCCGGGGTGGGGTCAGAGCGCCATCCGCCACCTCCCTACTGCCGCCTTGGCCCCCCAGGTACCTCATCTCTCTGGGGGCAGACAGAGACGCCACCAACGACGACGGAGACCTGCCGTCGGACCTCATCGACCCGGACTTCAAGGACCTGGTGGAGCTCTTCAAGGGGACCACGATGGACTGAGCCCCCCCTACCCCCCGCCCCGACCCCAGGGCTCGGGCCCTGCCTGGAGAAGTTGGGCGCCCACCCCCCAAGTGCTCGGAACTGCCCGCTGGTGGGACCCCGGTACCTGGGCACCCCCCTTTCTGGCCTGGCTTTTTCTGCAGGTGAATTTTTTATTGGGATTCTTTTTACTTTTTCAATAAACGTCATTCGCTAGCCCCTGGTGGTAGCCTGGTTACTGGGAACGGGCCCCAGCTCCCGCGCTCCCGGCGGTCAGCGGGCCCTGCCGTCCACACCGGCTTGTGGGTCCGGGCGTCGGCGCCAACGCAGGCGGCCAGAGTCTCGGGGCTCCGGGCTCCGAGCTGTCTGACCGCGTCAACCCCGGGCCCCCCGGACGCCGCCGCCCCAGCCGCTCGGCTGCGCTCCCCGCGGCTCCGCAGCCCAGACACCGCCGCCCCCTGCCCCACACCCCGCAGCCCCCGCCCGCCCTAGCCCGCCGCACCGCGGCCGGGTGACAGCCGGCGCGCCCGCACAGCAACTCCCCAGCCTCGGGCCCCGCCCCCGCCTGCTGCGCGCGTCGGCCGTCACGTGGCCCTCACGCTCCCTGCGCCTGCGCGGGCGGTGACGTCACTTCCGGCCGGGCCCCTGCTGGCGGCGGCGGCGGCGGCGGCGGCGGCGGCGGCGGCGGCGGCGGCGGCAGAAGAGCGGGCGAGGTGAGGTGAGGTGAGGCGGGCGCGGGGGCGAGGTGAGGCGGGCGCGGGGGCGAGGTGGGGCGGGCGCGGGGGCGGGGCGGGCGCGGCCGGGGCCGCCCTGGCGCGGCGGTTGGCGCGGGGAGGGCTCGGGCGGGGTCGCGCAGGGCCGGGAGCCGGCGCCGCGTTCGGTCCGCTGCGCCCGAGTCGCTGGGCTTGCTGGGGGGCGCGCAGCCCGGCGCGGAGGGGGCGGAGGGGGCGGAGGGGGCGGAGGGGGCGGCGGGGAGGGGCCGTGGGGACGTGGCGGGGCTGGTCCGCGCGGCGCACCCGGGAGATGGGCTCGGGAGGGGCAGCCGGGGACCCGCCCTTTTCGGTCTCTGAAGCAGCCGCGGCCGAGGTGGACAAATGTCCCGCCTCCCCCCTTCCCCAAAGGGGACAGTCCTGAGGATGCTTCTTGGCTCCTGGGATGCAGCAGGCCAGGCCCCGCCGCAGCGTTTCCTTCCCGTTTTCCAGCCTTTCCCGCGCCCGGTGGTGCGGGGCGCAAAGGGGGTGAGCTGGGCCCTGCCCCCGGGGAGCCAGCTCACTGGGCTGCAGGGCCTGAGGCCGCCCCGGGGGCTGCCGCGGTTGGTGGTGGACAGGGGGTATGGCGGTGCCCATGTCCTGTGCTCTGGCCAGCCCCAGGGAGGCTTCCGAGAAAAGGCGGTCTTTTAGCTGAATCTCAAGGATGAGTATTGGGCGGAGGGGACACCGCGAGCGGCCCCCCCAGCGGGCAGTGGGGAGCGCGCGTGAGTTCTGGGTAGAGAGCTTTCGGAGAGGAGCGCGAGTGGGGAGGAGAGGGAGCAGGGGCGCGTGGGGCGGGACGCCAGCCTGATTCGGGGTGAGGGGAGGGGATGGTGGGTTTCTGGGTCAGGGGGTGGGGGTGCACGCCCTCAGGGCTGTTGCTTGGGGTGGGAGCTGCTGCCCCAGCCAGGGCGGAGGGCGGAGGCCGAGGGTGCGCGCCTTAGAGGTTTTGCCGGGGTCTTCAGGGGAGCGCGTCTGCGGGTGCTCGCACAGCAGCGTTCTGGTGCCTGCGGCGTAGTAGGTCGTTTTCTGGAAGTCTTCACGGCTGGGACTGTGGGGTACTGCAGAGACACGGTGTCGGGGGAAAGCGGAATCTAAGAAAATCTGAGCATCAGGAATTCGCAGGAGCGCAGAGCGACTGCCGTCTGCATCACGGCTTCTGACTCCAGAATCCTCACTGTCGCCTTCCTGAACGAGCCCGTCCTCTCCTGTCCTGTCTCTGCGCATGCGGCTGTGTGTGGGAGCGTCTGGGACTGGGGGGCTGAGGGCTGGGCTTCGGGTCCCCCCATGCCCTGCCTCCCCCCAGGAGGCCTCCTTGGTTCCCGGGCAAGAGCAAGGTACAAAATGTATCCATCCGGAGAGACTCCTTGTCCCTGAGCAGAACCACATTGGTGTGAGGGTGTCCGGGGACCTGCCACAGGGTGCCACCAAGGGCGTCAGCGGGCTCTGAGGTGCTCAGGTGAGCTGAGCTGTCTGGGCCTGGCCCTGGCTGCCACGGCCCTGGAGGCTCAGATCCTGGGAGCCACTGGGGGTTCAGACGGCACTTTGCTGGGAGGCGGCGGCTTGCTGTGACCGGTGGCACTGCTGCTTTTCACACGTGCTGGGAGTTCCGGGGCCGCCGCCTCCCTGCGAATGGGCTGGCTCTGCATTTGGGGTGCCCAGGACTGTCCTGGACCGTGCTTCGTAGTCAGCAGTGGCCTGCTGCTCCCGGAGGTGCCCCGTCGGTGCGTTCTCTTGTCAAGCAGGAGAGCCTAGCGCACATCCGCGGGGGCTGCTTTGGCTTAGACAGGGACTCCCAGGCCCCGGAAGGCAGGGACTTCCTGGAGGCCGCAGAGCAAGCATGGATGACCTCCAGCCACAGAACGGTTCTGGACGCTGCCATGTGCCTAGCACGCAGCCGCCGGCCCCCATGAGCTCGACAGCCGTGGACGAGTCAGGCCCGGCAGCGCGCACCGTGTGGGGGGCGGCGCCTGGTTCTCTGGGGGGACGGCAGCTGGTGGAGGCGGTTCTGCTTCAGACACTGTCTGGGCGTGAGCTGGAGCCCAGCGGTCAGACACACCTGGAGGAATAGATTGGGCCACACTGAGGGCCTGATGGCATTAGAGGGCCCAGGGCATGTGGGGTGGGGTATTACTTGGGGCGGGCTGTCAGGACTGGGGTTGGGGGGAGTCTCGTTGGATGGGGGTGGCTGCGGGTGGGAAGAGGTGGCGGGAGAGCACGTTGGAGGCTCTGGGAAGTCTGGCCCTGGGCTTGCTGGTGGTGGGATTGTGGGCCAAGGGGAGACCGTCGTTGCGTCATTAGATCTGAGCTGTGCCTCACATCACGGTCACCCAGACGGGAAGGACACGGCAAACATCGACGTGCTACTAGTTGCCTGACGTGATCCTGTTTCTTTTCTTATTTTTAGAGATTTTATTTCTTTATTTGACAGGGAGCAAAAGAGAGAGAGAGCACAAGCATGGGGAGAGGGAGAAGGAGGCTCCCCGCTGAGCAGGAAGCCTGACACGGGGCTCGATCCCCGGAGCCCGAGATCATGACCTGAGCCAGAGGCAGACACTCAACTGACGGAGCCCCCCAAGCGCCCCAGAGCTGAGGAAATAATTGTGCCTCTAGTCCTGTGAGCAGAAGAGGGAAAGCAAATGAGGGGGAGAAGGGAGATGGTTTGGGAAGTGGTGCCAGCCAGGTACTCTGTGACAAGGGCCTGCCCTCCCTTAGGCTGTTGTCCCCGGCCCTCGCCCCCAGCGCTCCCCTGAGCACCAGGTCCCCGTCCTGCTGGACTGGAGGCTCCGTGGTCCTCCATGGCTCGGCCTGTCTTGTTAGGTGTCCTTGGCACTCCCCCAGGCCTGTGCTGCTCTCCCCAGCACGTTGGTCACCCAACCCCTCCACACTGCCACTCTCATGGCTCCACTCAGCACTTTCTGTGGCGGTCAACGGCGCTCTGGTGTCCCTCTGGTTCATCGGAGATGCCCCGTGGTCAGCCAGCCTCCGGCCTCCCTTCCTAGCTGCCGCTCACAGACGGGCAGCCTTGGCTGACGGCCCACCTTCTCCCCTCATTCCACCCAGACCGTGCCTGCCGAGGTCGGGGAGATGTCGTGCAGGTCCGGCAGTCGGTTAGGTCCAGCTTGTACTCCAGCTGTCTTCTTAGAGGTCTCCCCACTGACGTCTTTCCCTTTCTCCCGCTGGAGCCTCTGTGGTTGGCCCTCTGCTGGGGGCTGCTCCCAGGGCACCCGTGTCCCCAGGCTTCCATCATCTGGATGGAAGGACCTTTGTGACAGATGTGCAGGTCTGGGACAGGGAACTGATGTGACTCTCTCATGCTGCTGGTTTAGTCAGGAAGCCCAGTGGGGCTGGCTCCCCAGTGTGGGGACCGAGTGCTCTGTGGGCCCAGGGCTCAGGTTACAGGCTCAGGCCCTGCAGGGCGGCTGCTCTGGGGCCAGCCCAGGTTAGGCCCTGGGTCTGCAAAGATGGAGAGGAGCAGGTAAGGTGTCCAAAGAGCCCCACCGTTGCATCGTGGGCAGACATTGTGACGGGAGCCAAGAGGGGGTGAGCACGTGAGTTGGCCCAGGGCAGATGAGTAGGGGACCCTAAGATGAGGTCACATGCCCGCAAAGGCTGGGTGGTCCCTGGAGGCTGCCTGGTGGGGAGAGCCCTGTAGTGGGCCAGGTGAGGCGGGAAGGGCAGGGCCGTGCAGCAGCGGCCTCCGGGATCGTGGAGCACAGCCTGCGGGAGGACTGACGATGCCTGGGCAGGAAGAGGCAGGGACTGGCTGTGGGCAGGCAGGGGCTGGCTGGTCCTCCCGGCCCCTCCATCCTGTCGTGTAATGGGAGCTCCCCACCTTGTCCGACTGCTGACAGCCCCTTGAGTGGCCCAGGGTGTACTTAGGCCATTCGGGGGGCTGATGCCTGGGAAAGGGCAGCAAGCCCCCTGAGTCCACGGAAGGAGAAGTCCCTGTGAGAGGGACTGGGCTGCTGCGGGGTGGGGTGGGGCCTGGGCTGAGGTGTGTCGCCCAGGAAGCTGGTTTTGTGCTCTTCTGTGCTTCTTGTCTTGCTTTCTGGGCTTGCGGTTACCTGTGCAGGTGTTCAAAGGCTGGACGTTGGTGACAGGACTGAGTAAGCCAGAGAGCAGGGACCCACAGCTTTCTGGTTCTCTGGGAAGGGCCGCATCTCTATGCTCTGGGCTCTAGGAGGGAGGGGGGCAGAAGCTTTTGCGCTCAGGGCCCCCCTCTGTCTGCCCTCAGGACCTAGGGTTGTCTGTTCTGGGGCCGGGCCAGGCCTGGGACTGGCTCTGTGAAGGCACCTTCCGTACTCTGCTCTGCTGTCAGCCGGGGGGGATGTCCCCTGTCTGGTTTGAGACTAAGCCGCAGGACGCCTGCGGGGCTCAGTGGGTCACACGTCTGCCTTTGGCTAGGGTCATGGTCCCGGGGTCCTGGGACCGAGTCCTGCTCAGCGGGAGGACTGCTTCTCCCTCTGCCTGCAGCTCCCTTTGGCTGAGTGCTCTCACTCTCTCTCTCTGACGAGTAAATAAAATCTTAAAAAAAATTACCAAGGCTTCCCCCTGGGCTATAAAACCGGAGCCGACAGAGAGGCTGGAAATAGGAGCAACCCAGGGTCTTTGTGCCCGCGTCAGGCCTGGCAGCTTCTTCCAGGCTCACCCCTTTCCTCCTGCCCCGTCCAGTGCCCCAACTCACTCGTGCCCTGGCCTCGGGGCCCCGCAAGCTGGTCCTCCCCACAAAGCCTGTCTCTGTTGTACAGGTGGGAACCGGGCTCAGTGAAGACAGCACTCCAGGCCCTGCGGGCAGGGAGGGCAGAGTTGGGGTTCACTGGGGTCGCTACGGCTCTCCCTGCAGACCCAGATTTCACGAGCGGTGTTCTGTGACTCTGGAAAGGGAGCATCTGGGCACTGCCGTTGGAGCCATCCCAAGCCACCGACCGTGGGGGAAGGGGCTCCCTGGGTAGGGGTGGTCCAGCAGCTGGGGCTGCCCGGAAGGAGGGCACTGTGAGTTCAGGGCCAGGTTGCCGGCCCTCAGCCTCCAGCTGGTCGACTGCCCAGGCTGTGGCTGGTCCTCCCCCCTGCGGGGCTTCTGGGTGGACAGTGAGCCCACAGCAGTTCGGCGTCAGCCTGGTGGAGAGGGTGGGCCCCACGCCCCTCCCTGCCTTGAAGTTCCCATGGAGAGGGTGACTCTGTCCCACTGCCAGGGTCTGGGCTTCCTTTTCAGAGGCCGAGGGGACCCGGCTGTGGAGTGCGAGGACCAGACACCCCCGCAATGACCAGGTGGGTGTTGGGCGGCAGGGTGGTCTCCCCTGGGGGGTAGGGGATGGGCCCCACTTCGCCCCCAGCCCTTCCTTATGTGCTTGGGCACCCCCAGTTCCCCTGTCTCCAGAGTGGTCTACAACGGCAAGAGGAACAGTAGCCCCCGCTCTCCCCCCAGCAGCAGTGAGATCTTCACCCCAGCCCACGAGGAGAATGTGCGTTTCATTTATGAAGGTACGTGGGGCTCCCCCAGCCAGGGCTGGGGCTCCGAGAAGTCCCCAGAGCCCCCAGGGCCATCCCAGAGTTTGGGCTCTTGCCTGGCCTGGTCTTCAGGGGCCACATCTGGTCGTGCGGAGGGTGGGGGCGTGGGGGAGGGGTGCGGCTCCCAGGGGAGGAAGCAGTGGTGTGGGCCAAGTGGTCTCCAGGAGAGGGAGCCCCTGCGGGAGACGGGAAGACAGGGTGCTCTGGAAGGACCCAGCCGTGTGGAGACGTGTGGCTGGGTGCGTGTGCCCAAGTGTGCCAGGAGGGGGGACAGGTGGGGCGCCCGAGCAGAGGACGGAGAGCGCTGGGTCACGTGTGTGTCTGCGAGCCTGCCAGGAGCCAGTCCAGGCGGGGGGGTGGGGTGCAGAGAGGGAGGAAAGGGCGCTCTGAGGACAAGCTCAGCAGTCCTGGGGGCCGGAAGCCGTGGGGTAGGGGGCTGGGGAGTGGGGGAGGAGGAGGGGCCCTGACCACTTGGACTCTGCCTGACCTCCCAGCCACACTGGGGGTGCTGATGCCACCCCCTTGCCTTTCACAGCCTGGCAGGGCGTGGAGCGAGATCTGCGGAGCCAGATGTCAGGCAGCGAGCGGGGCCTGGTGGAGGAGTACGTGGAGAAGGTCCCTAACCCCAGTCTGAAGAGTGAGTGGAGGAGCTGGCCTGGGGGGCGCCAGCCGGGGGCAGTGCTGGGGGGAGGGCTGGAAGACAGTGTGGCACAGTGCCCCGGTTCCCCGGGCTGCCAGGGGCAGGTGCGGGACGGCGCCTGGACCTTGCCTCTGCGTCCGTGCCGCCACTGACCACTCTGTCGCCCGACAGCCTTCAAGCCCATCGACCTGAGCGACCTGACGCGCCGGAACACGCCGGATGCCAAGAAGTCCTGAAGCGCGCCGTGTCCCTCCCCGGGCCTCCAGGAGACCGGGGCGCCGCCTGATGCTGGGAGGGGGAGGGGCTGTAAACCCCAGGATCAGGAGGGGCACGATCGCTGGCCATGGCCTGCCCTTCCTCCCCGAGTCCCCTCCTTTCTTCTCGGGGTCTCCAGCTGCCCCTGTCGCTGTGGCGAGGCCCTGCCAGCCCCTGCTCTCCCCGGAGCGGCGTCTTTGGAGCTGCCTGCTCTGCCCACCCCCAGTCCAGGGCCTTGACTCTGACTTCATTTCCCATCACCTCCTGTTGCCCCTACCCCCTGAGCCCGTACCCCCTGGCCGCTTCCAGGGTCATGAGGGGGACAAGGGGGCCTCTGCTCTTTCCCAGGCTGGTGGGACTGGGCTTGTCCCTGAGGGGGGTAGGAGGCAGGCGGGGACGCCCTCTCCCATAGCAGTTGTGCGCCCCCCTCCAAGCGCTGCTGTTCGGGGCCGGACACCTCGGGGAGCATCTGATCCTTCACCTCGTTGTCCAGCCTGGCCCCTTCCTTTCCTGCATCAGCTTCAGGATGGCACTGAGCACCCCTCAGAGAAGGTCCTGGGCGACCGGGCCTAGCCCCTTGCTGTCTGCGGCCCTGAGGCCACAGGTGTCCCCACGGGTAGGGGTGTGAAGATGACCCTGGCCCTGTACCATGTGCTGGGATGGTCACCAGGGCCCCCTTTTCTTCCCGTGCCCTTCAAAAGCCGAGTGTCTGTGCCCGGAGCCCAAGGACCAGTGAATAAAGGCGGGTGGTGCTGGAGCGGCCCCTCGGTCTGTCAGGCCCCTGTCCCGGCAGCCCAGGGAGGGCTGGAGACCCAAGGTCAGGCCCCACCCTGAACTCCAGAAATCCCGTCGGCTCCCTGGGTTCCTCTAGGGGGTCTCAGGCCTCCTGCAGGCGGCAGTGGGTGCTGGGGGAGGAGAGAGGCTGAGGGGGCTCTCCTGTGCTCTTCAGGGACCATTGCCTTGGGGGTGGGGACCCTGGACGCAGGAGGCTCCCTCTGCAGCCCTGGACCCTGGGGAGTGGTTCCTCTGCTGTTCCGATGAAGGGGTGGCCGCTGGGCCCTGAGAGAGACCCAAGTCACTTGACCTTCAAACCTGGAAAGCCCTGGTAGGCCAGGCCCTATACGCGGAACTGGAGTTTATTTCAGGAACATGCTTTCCTGGAAGAGTACTCTGGGGCCTACAGGTGACTCCAGGAGGCGTCTTCTTGGGTGGGGGCTCCCAGGGACAGGGCACAGGAAGGACAGGTCACGTAATAAACAGCCGCCTTGGCTCACTGCCAGTGGGAGCTGGCAGGTGCCAGGCCCTGCGCCAGGTGTCTAACCGCGTGGCCTTGTTTGCTCCCTGGGGACCTGTGGGAGTTTTGCCGAGGGTTTGAGTGCCCCCAGTCACCCTCCCTGGCCTCCTGCACTAGTGGTGATACCCGTGGGCCTGTCTACCCGACCACTAGGGGTGTGGGGACCACAGGAGACCCCTCAAGGGCATTTCACTCAGTATCCCTGCCTACTTAGCTTTTGCGTGGGATGGAGGCGCTCAGCCTGGGGTCTTTGTGCCAAGACCCACCTCAGAGGTGGAGTGTGGCTGAGAGGCCACGTGCCAGGAGGGTGAGCGGAGCTCAGCTGGGCACTGGAGGTGGAGGCCCTGGGGGCAGGGAAATGGGTGGGCGTGGAGCCATCCCTTCCCTAACTTGGGGTCCATGTGTCCCATTTGGAGATTCTAGCTAATGGGTGAGGACTCAGAGCGGTCATACAGGGGGTGTCGGGGACCAGAGGGGAGGGGCAGATGGGGCAGAGGGAGGCTGGCTAGTGGGGAGGTCCTTCCTGTTTGTCGGGCGCAGCTCTCGGACCAGCCCGGGCCCACTGGTCCGAGCCCAGCCTCAGCTGTGCTGCCTCCTCCCCATCCAGGCTGCTGGAATCTTCACCGTGGCCGTGTGGCTGCCCGTGAGTGTCTGGAGACCCCTGCCCTCCGGTACAGTGAGGGCAGTGAGCATCTTGGTGGAGCGGGGATGTCCCCTTTGCTCCGCCACCCTGTGCCCCACACGTGTGCACATCAAGCGCTAGTTCATCCTGCGGCGAGTTTATCACCCTACCTTTACCTCCTTTCAGAGGACGGCCTTACTCAAATTTTTAGGTTTTTACTTTTATCACAATTTTGATTTAGTAAATACTGAGCATGTTTGTGTGTACGGCCTGAACAATAATTCCCAGATACTTAATGCGCAGTCCGTGTTCCTCGTAACGTCTGAATGTATTCTAGGTGGGTTAGGGACTCAGGATGGAAAGGCAGAGCGTGTCTGCCGGGCCTGTCCCTGAAGGCTCGCCGCCCCTCCCCCTTTGATGTATTGGAGACCCCTTGGGTGCTTCAAGATGCAGTTGCTTGCATTCTGCCTTTGGCCGGTCACCTCCTCCTGTTGACAGCACCTCTGTCCCCCACATTTCTGCAAGCTGAAGTGAGGTGCAGGGCTGGATGGGGCGTGGCTCCATCCACGGTGGATGGAGGCGGCTCTGGCTCCTGGGTTGGGAGCAAGCTGGTGGAGGATTCAGGGTAGAAGCAGAGACCTGCTGGAGCCGCCTCAGTGAGCCGGAGCAAGAGGGGCTGGGGGCGGGCGTGCCCGCGAGCTCCCTGTGGACGTGCAGAATTTGAGGGGATGAATGGGAAGGTGAGTCCAAAGTGTGGGTTTGGGAGGACCACAGGGGTGGAGATAAGCTTGGGAAGTCCTCTAGATAGTGATGGTTTCTCATACCCGTGAGGGGGGAGGGTGGCCTGACCCCCGCACTGCAGTCAAGGAGGGAGGAGGTAGCAGGAAAAAGGGGCGGGCGGTGGAAAGTGGGGCCAGAGAAAGCAAGCGGGGTCGGGGGCGCTGGGGCTGCGGGAGCGTCCCGGGGAGGTGGTTCGTGCAGAGTGGACTGGCCCCTCGCGCCTTGCCCCGCGCACCAACCGTTTTCAGCTCTTCGTTTGTATTTCTTCTAAGCACGCACACACGGTTCCTTCTTGGCTTTCCTGTTTCATCCCCCTACGCGCTTCCCGGCCACCATGCCGCCCGACAGACCGGGTTTTCTCTCACTCGGGTCACAGTCCCGCCGGTGCTGTGTTCACGTTACCATGTCCGTATGCGGAGCTGAACCGTGTGGTAAATCATGATGGTTTTTCTTTTCTGCCCATTTTGTTTTCCTTGAAGTTACTCACGGCCCTTTTTCACTTGATTTTCTGTGCATTGACACTAAGTCTTGAACTGTCCACCGGGTCATCTAAGCTTCCCCAGTGTGCACAGACGCTGGTCCCCTGGAGGGTGTGTCTCCTGGTAACTGCCCTGCTTGAGGTCCCCTTCCCCAGTGACGCGCCCTCTGCCGGCACCACTGCCGCTCTGGGCTGACCTCTCAACTCTCCTAGGGTTGACCCTGTGTGTCGTCGTCCAGGTTGTCCTCGTCCTCGTTCTTCACTCTAGTAGCACGCGCGTACACACGCGTGTACACACGCACGCGTGCGCACACATGCGAGGTGGGACCCGTGTATTTGCGGGAGGGGCCGGAGGTCAAGGATTGCCGTGGAGATGGGAAAGAGGCAGAGGCCCTGGAGTGTTCATGTTCCTGGACCGAGAGATGTGAGGGTGCTGGGCTGTGGGAAAGCCTGCAGGGTGGCCTGTCAGAAGTCTGTGTTCGTTGGCGGGGCTGGTGTGGCCCCTGCCAGGCCTCTGCCTCCGCCCTCAGCCCTGCCGGTCCGCTCCAGTTCTCTTGGGGACAGGGACAAGGTGAAGGAGAAGGAGGGCAGAGGGAGCCAGGCTGGGGCGGGCTGTCAGGAGGCCGCTGGCTGAGCGGCTCGCCCCCACCCGCAGGCGGTCACCACCCCTGAGCGCAGCGGGCGTGAAGGAGAACTGCTCTCCGCGTGCGAACCTGTGCCCCACACGGGCTTCCGGGGCGCACGGGCTGGTGGGTGCGCCCTGTGGCCGGGGCTCCGGAGGGCCAGAGAGAGGCAGTCTGAAGCCTCAGGGTCAGGGGCCTCGGTCTGGCCGCCGCGTGGCTGGCACCCCTCCCCTGCTCCGCCGACCCTGCCCGTCTCCGCACCACCGCCCGCCTGCCTGGGCCACGAGAGCGCTCCGTGTACCCCGACCAGCCCCTCCCCCGTCCCTCCCCGCCGCCTCCATGGGGTGACGGGCCCCCTCAGGAGGGCCCCAGTGCCTGGCGGGGGAGTAATTTTATTTATCTTTTCTGAGAGGCCTTCTGTCCGCTCATTTTCTCCAATTAGCCTGTCTCTGCCTGAGCAACTCCAGCCCACGTGGCCCGAGGAGGCCGTGGGCACCCCACACCCTTGAGCTCCGCGGGCACCTCCCGCCGGCGCCTTGAAGCGGGGGCACCTGGCCTACGGAGCAGTGCGTGCTCTCTGGCCTGGCTCCTTCCTCCTCCTGGGGCGCTCCGACCCGTGAGCACAGCCCCCGCGCCATCTCCCCTCCTGCACTAGCTCCTCAAGACGGCGACCTGGGCCTCAGCGTGCGCCCCCAAACAGTTGGGCTCCGCACCCCAGGGCACTGCCTGGCTCCCCTCAGGGCCGCGGCCTGCCCGGCAGGGTGCCCACCCCCATACTGTGGACGGGGTCCTCGCTGCGCGTAGCCACCCAGCCGCGCCGGTGTGCAGGGGGCCGAGCCCTTCTGCCAAGCGGTCGTGTCAGGACCACAGAGGTCTCGGGAAAAGTGCTGCTGCCATCACGCCGTCATTTCAGTTTGCGGTGGTTGGTTTCTCCCCTTTTTATCTGGATCGTCTGCCAATGCCCTTGCTGGGCCTGAGTCCGGCCTGGCCGCGATGCCAGGAGACAACCAGAGGTGTCCACACGGGGCTGGTGGGAAGTGCAGCGCAGGGGGTTTCCCTAGGCATCCCCCACCGTTCACATGCCTGTTTGGGCAGATGGTGACCCTCTTGGGGTCTGGGAGCCAAAACAAACGGCGGGCCATCCACTCTGGCCCAGGGTGTGCTGCGCCCCTCTTAAACCAGCAAGGGAGGGCGGCCGGAAACCGCTCCGGGGGGGTGGGGGCGTGGGGGGGCGCACTGTCAGCCATGAGTCATGTTTGGGACCCTCTCGGGGGTTCCAGCTCCAGTTCATCTGTAAAGTGGGGACTCCTTGAGGGAGCACACTAGCTCTCGTTCCCAAGCGAGGCTGCTCCCTTCCGATGGGGAG